TTCCATCTTCATCCATTCATTCCTCCGTTTCCCTTCCTGGCGCCCCTGCTGCCTCTTCTGTGTGTTTTTTCCTCTCTTCCCTATCCCTGTCTCCTTGTTCTCTTGCGGAACTCACAAGCTTGCACTCGCCTCACAGGCCCCCGGCCCCGCTATTTAATCCTTCTCCCTGCAGCCCAAAAGCTTGGTGACATGCGTGTTTTGGCCACAGTTTCGACCCCCCCACCCCGGCTGGTCCGTTCCTTCCCATCTTCATTCCTCCGCTTCCCTCGCCACTGTCGAGCCGAGGCGGGCTGCGTAGCGTTGGAATTATGAGTCGGTCACCGATGGACGCTGGATGCAGCCGAGCATCAGGAAAATGGCCGCCAAGTGTTGTGTCACCCAGCAGGTCACGCCTGACTGGGAGGAGGACCAAGCCGGCCGCATGTCTCGCTGCAGCCGAAAGACCCAGCGCTGTATTGTGGTTGGCAGGGCCGGCCTGACACATGCAACAAAGAGTTGAGCTGCAAAAAGGCAAAGACTCAAGAATCGCAAATGCATCCAGGTGTCCAGAAGGTGCAAGCAGCCAGCTGCTGCAAGCTGAAGATAGGACTTTTTCTCCTGGATCATACTCTTACTCTTACTCTTGCTTGGCGACTGTAGCAACTGAAAGGGCAAGGATGGTGCAATAGAGCCCTGGAGTCCTGCATGCACTCAGTCGGAGCTGCAAGCCTGACGGCAGAGCTGTGCACCCTCGATCTGCTTCTGCCGGACTCTCTGGCTCTGGCCTGGTTTGCTCGCATGTGTCCACTCATCGCATGGCGTTGGGGAGGTGATCGCTTGAGCCGCCAACAAGCTCGGCAAAGAAGCTGTAGGACGCATCTACTGCAGAGATCCGACCGAGGCAGGAACCTTCTCCATGACTATGTAAAAGGCCGTGGGGTCCTGCAGACCAGTTGTACGCATCCTGAAATCGAACATGGTGGTTGCATATGGCTCATCGAAGGTCTTGGCAGGAATCCTCCATGACCTCGTAAATCTTTGCTACGCCGAGGTTCTGCGGCAAGTTTAGCAAGAACCTGAGATGAGCTCGTGCTGACTCAGTGCATAGCTAATGCCCGACCAGGGCTCCCCACTCGGTGTTCTGCCGCCACTTCTTCTCATCCTGAAAGGTTTGAAGTCAGCATTGAAAGCAGTCTGATGTCACAACGGCATCGCGGGCTTGGCCTGTCTGCTCCTGAAGCAGCTGGGCTTGAAGCGCACTTTCACCACCACCTCAAATCAGAAATTGGAGTCGTTCTCGACATCATTCGGCATCATCGGTTGTCAGATGCCATTCTATCGAATTGAAATCACGGGTTGGGTGCACGGGACACTGCGACCAACCCTCCATGCCTCTTGTTTGTCCGACTTTCGGACCGCAAAGTTCACCTGAAAGCCGAGTTCTGCAATCTTAAGCGAACTAAGTGCGTCTTACCATGTCCTCGCTGATGCAATTGCGTGGCTCTGGGCTCCGGGCCTTCATGTACCTATGCGTTGAAGGCATGACTTCCTTGCCCATGTCGTAGTAGTCTCCAAAGCTGGGCACATTTTGGATGGTCCTTCCACTACCGGGTCGCATCACTTCTGATTCAACCACGTGCCCCTTCCTGCTTTCCGACTGTCAAGTCACAAAGTCTGCATGCAGAACTGAGTGGCTGTAGGGCAATGGCCCATGACATGAAAGATCAGAGCCATGACATGCAATGCGAGGATCGGTGTACTGCAGCGACTAGCAGGATAGTGCGCAAGCACTTCTTATTACTACTTCTGGCACAGGTCCTCAGAGGAGGTGGCCTGTCAAGGTCAGTTCGGAAGCATGCTTGCAAAGGGAGGCGATCAAATCCGGAATTCGAACTCCAGCTTGCTGGCTCTTTGGCAGAGAGGGACCCCCGCTTGCGACCGCATGCATTTGAGCTTCGAAGGCAAGTTCTGGGAATGAAAAATGCTGCCTGGGAGGCGGCGCCGATTCACGGGTAGTTGTGTGGTGAATCTTCCTGAGAATCTCAATCTTGAGGCCCGCAGCTCGCACATAACTTTCAAAGCTTCATGCTGAGACACCATTTGCTGAACATGAAGATGCTACTTTTCAAGACTGGTCGCATATAAGAGACAAGCTCCAGGCGTCTCGGACAACCACGATCCACTATGATCTAAGATCTGGCAAGGCTCCCGTAGCGGGCATGCAGCGGTTGTGACGATGAGCTCATGGCAAGGGCTCCTACAGTCCCAAATTCACTCGGCACACCTTCTTAAGAGGCTGCATTGGCTGGGGCTGGCGGTTGGCTAGGGTTTTGTCTTGGGGACGGGTACAACCACGCGGTGTTCGTGGCACAACTTTTCAAAACTCCCTCTTCTGTGCACTGGCCACCGTGAGCAAGGCGACTGGCTGCGTGCCTTACAAGTTCCTTGTCTGCACGTCCTGGCCTTATGAATTTTCCCCCTGTATCATGGTCTGCCTCCAGCATTGAGCCATGCGGCGGCGGTCCCATGCTCTTTAGCAAATTACTTTTGCTGCACGTAGCATTGCTTGGGGGTGGAAGTGCCCAGACCGAAACACGAAGCAGCATATCGCACGTTTCATCCACTGTACATGGGTAATTTGGAGTTGAAAGCCTGACATGCTGGCTATCCGACTATCCAATCTTTGCGGCTTTTGCACGGCCGTACCAAACCTTTGAATTTCTGCATGTTGTAGACACAGTGCCGGATTGATTGGCAAAATGTGCACAGACGTGGTAACCTTTCAACACCCCCGTGCCAGAACATCTCTGAGCAGGATCCTCCTGTTGAATCGGGAGGTCTGGCTGAAGCTTCAGCGTTTCACCGACCGATCTAGTCATGAATACGATCTTTCAGTGACGAATCTCCGGGTAACATATCAGTCGATGACGAACGGGTCTTCGGCTGATGCATCTTCCGAGAGGATGTGTATGTTTGTGCTGTCCAGTGCATGCTGATCTCGGTTTCTGGCATCTAACTCTTCTTGCCTTCCGTCGTCTGAAATATTCATTCCTGGGAGATCTGCGCGCCATTCAAAAAATGGTTTGCCTAATTGGGGAGGGGTTCTTCTGAAGCTGCTCACAAAGTCTTACCAAACAGCCTGCAATTCTTTGTGCGACAGATATGTCTGCAAAACCGTAACTGTATGTGCCTGATGGAAGTGCTTGAGAATCTTGAAACACTCCGATCAACAAGTGTGGGGGGAGACACTTTGTGTTCTGGGTTTGTTCTGATTTTGTCAGTTGAATACGTTAGCTTGTCCTTGTCATCTGCACGAGATGGAAATCTGTACTGCCTGTTAGTTTCCGTGGCTGGAGATGTAGCCTAGTGGCACCAATTCTGTCAAGAATTTGCATGCTGGCTTGCGGCTTACGGTTCAAGCTGAAGCTGCCGCGAGGATCACTGTCTCCTCAATAGCTGCAAGGAGTGCGACTGCACGCATGGGGTTAAAGTCCTGTCACCTTTGTCGCAGAAAGGTCTTCATTAGATTGCACCGGAGAGCAAACGAGCATCGCGACCTTTCACAGACACGCTTTGGAACAAATGTTCAAGCCTTCGAGCCAATCTCACTACACTATACGTCGCACCTCTGTCCCAGTTTCAGTCGCACTACACGGCGCAAACGAGGCCCTTGGTTGGACTGTCGGGGCAAACCCCGCCACTTCATCTCGCTCTTCGCTGGTTTTTGCCGACTGTCTGGCTATACTTTTCGCGGTGAGGCTTTTCAGACCGTTCAGAATCCAGAAGTCGAGTCGAATAGTGCAGCTTGAGTTTGGTGCGTTCATGTGCGTTCACATCCGACAGACAAGCACACCAACGGCTGTTTCAGCGAGCGGATCTGAAAGATGCCATGAAAGTGCTTTTCGTGGGCCGGTCAGAAGCCTAATCCACGGGGCGTGCGGACTCATCTTTGGACTCCGCTTTTGTGGCATCCGCGGCATCCTGCGAGGCGCAGAAAGATAGGACAAAGAGCGGAGCGGCGCCCAGCCTCGCAGCCTCGCCTCAAGGCCCAGGAGCTCGCTGATCAGCCTGACCACGGTGAAGTCTTGCGCTCCCATGTCCCACCCCACTGCTTCCTGCCTCGTGGCTACAGTGCTCACCTTGGCCATGCTCATTGCACTGGAATGGGCACTGAAGAGTGTTTGAGGGACGGGACCCGGCCTTTAACTCCCGAGTCAACCGTTATTTTGCCCACGAGCTTGAACCACAACACCCCCAAACCTGCACACTCTGCAAGCAGTTGTGGACTAAGCACCTGCAGCTCAAAAAGCAGCCTAGAGACCAGTATGGCGACAACGGCAAAAGCAATCGACTCGACCAGAACGATTTGCTGCGCCTTCGAGAGAGGAAGCGCGACATCTAAGGCCATGTCACATGTGCATTTCTTCGCACTCTCGAAGCAAAATTCTGAGTACGGCTTCTAGCATATCTGACCTGGAGAGAAGCCCAGAACCGAATCCAGCAAGCCGTGGACACGAAATGATGACTTGTCCGGTGTTTAAGCAAGGACCTGCAAATCAAAGCTTGGCGCCTGGACAGGAGGTTGGTATTCTGGCTAGACGTACCCTTACAGCTTGGCATGTCGTCGGGCCCGGAAGGAATCCTGCTGCCCTCAAGAAAGGCTGAACAAGTGATCATGATTGGCTGGGGACCTACAGTTACAGTAATCCTGCTCGGCCGAATTATGAAGATGTGTGAGCCATTTGCACGTACATCGGACATGCCCTGCCTGTGACTGCACTGCGCTGCCATCATTCCCCACCGAAGTCAGCAGCAGCATGCCAAAGGACCTGAAGGAGACACGGCAAGGAGCTGCTGCAAAGTTGGGACAGTTGCTTGCAAAGTGTCCTGTTTTACTGCACGACCAGCACACCGAAGTAGAACTAGAAGTGCCTTTTCTTCCTTTTCCTTTACCTCTTCCTTGTCCTTTCATAAAGTTCCAATGCTGATTTCCTTTTCCATACGACTTTGAAAAGTCCTTTCCTTTTCATTTCCTTTTCCTTTTCCTTTTCCTTTTCTTTTTCCTTTGCCTTTCCAGAAAGCTGCTGCTAAAGCACGAACCGAAGGTAATGCAACATACGTTGACAAAGTTAAGGGTGCTTCCGTGGGGCCTTTGAGGTCAGGTCTGGACATGTCGTGCATTTTCCATCCATCGTTTCTAGCATTTGCCAAACAAGGCAGCGCAAACAGAGCTGTGTGACTTGCTGCACTTGGTCCGCGGCGCATCTAGAAAAGCCTGCTCGGAGTGTGGCAAAGCGCAGGGGCACAAACAAGCAGACAACCATTCGCGTGCACTAGTTACGCGACGAAAAGTCCTGATCAATATTTTTTAGTTCTCACCCCGGGCCCTGAACAGCCAACTTCTGCGTCGCAGCCCCGGCCGTCTTCAAACAGCCAACGAAGTGGGCAGCCGCGAAATCACCCAGGCCGACATCCAAGGCACCCAAGAGGTACCTGAATCTTATGCGTGCATCTACTGAAGGCAAAGATGGTAATTGGAAACATCGCAACGGCAAGTGCTCAAGATTGGTGGGCTAATGGTCAGCTACAGATGCAGACATGCCACCAGTAGGAGTCAAACGGCAAAGGCAGCACCGGCGCCAGTCTTAACAGCAATGTGAGCCGAGCTCCGTCGTCCTCACGGCAGGTCGAGTACAAGCGCGCCCGACACCCCCACCCAGCCCATTCCCCCCACTGCCCCCCTCTCTCCATGCACCAGTTCGTTCAACAATTCGTGCAAAAAGCTGCAGGCTCATGTGATCCACTGTGGCAGGCATTGACGAAGGTTTAATCTGCCCCCGTGTGTTTTTGAACCAAAGTCCTCTCTGCAATGTAGTCAACAAACATCTAGCAGAGCTGAAGATCAATCAAAAGAAGAACCACCTCGGAACACTGTTCCGGCTGTGACACAGAATTTCTAACTTAGTGACTTGAACGCGTGTACTTCTTGTGTGATCGTCTGAAACTGCACCGCAAATTGAAACAGTGGCTGGTCGGACACAGCTTCAATACTGAAAACGGAGCAGGCCTATTTGCGTTCGGTAACTTCGACTGCTACTGTACAACTTGCTGCTTTCCTCCTTCCCTTCCTTGCTTCCTTGCATTCCTTCCCGCCTTCCTTCCCCCTATTTCCACTTCCTGTCTTCCTTCCGTCCTCCCTTCTGTCCTTCCGTCTGCATCAGGAATCCTTGAACTCTTCGGCAACGGTGGGATTCCCCACCGTCCGGACAAGCCCTAACCCTGCGAATTCGCAGGAAAACCATCACCACCAACAGAAACAAACAAACAAACAAGCCTCCCCCGATGCCGCTGCAACCATGCTGTTGCCCTTTCGGATCAGCTTGGCGGTCCTTGGCAGCCCGTTCCAAGGAGTAGAACCACGAGGCCTCGACTGGGAGTCGTGAAGCAAACGGCCAGCCGCAGGTTTGCCATCCCAGCACCCCAGCCTTGCCCACCGGCTCGCTGCCGAAGACAGAGAAACCCCGCAGCTTGTCCTCTGCTTTTCAAGGGGTGAAGCTTTGAAGAATTATGTTTGTTTTGCTGGAATTGCCCGGAGCTGTCCGCCAGGAAGGACCGGCCGATAATGAAGTTGGAGGCGGCCGCCAACGTTTCCGTTGCAGCAGATGCGAGGGCACCTTGAACCAAGCCTGTCGACGCAAAGGCAATGTGACAGTGAGGGAAGCACAAGCCAGCCACGAATTGATTCCACCGGAACACTTCCAGCAGGATAGCTATCACCGTGCGGTCGGAGATCAGTTTAGATGGGCCAGTGCCTCCGAAGATAATCGGAGCCAGCGTTTTCAACGCAATTTGAATGGGCAGAAACTCGGTAAGCATGAACCTTAATTCGCCAACACTCACATAGCCAACGCCTTTGACATCCTTCGACGTTTCTGCTTGCATAGGGAGGATACAGCGAAAGACGAAGGCGGAGCTGTCCTGGCTTTCAGGTTGGTGGTTTGAGAGCCGGCGGCTCGAACCAAAACCGGACCACCAACCGTTACATTCATTTGCATCCACATTCTGTGGCCGTGTCCTCTGCTTCGCACTTGCAAATTCGTATTCCACGGTAACCTCCCTTCCCAAAGTCACACCTGCAAGTTCGTAATTTCGCCGAGCCGAGCGTCAAGGGTCAGTGCATCTGCAGCCCCGATCCATCCCAGTCCCAACATCCGCTGTGCTGCACGACTTCTGCATAAACCCAACGTCAGACGCCGAAAGGCCCCGTGATTGCGGGGCGAAGCGGAGCATCTCGAGCATTGGGACATGTTCTCAGATTCTTGCGGCCACCACTTAGACTTGCGGTCGAAAAAAGGACAGGCCTATCTCCTGAAGTCCTTGCATTGCCCGAGCATTCCCTCAATTTTTCTCCCACAGTAAATTGTGCGCCAAGCCCACCGGAAATGCTAAATCCTGTCAGTGTAAAGCTTCAACCCAAACGCCTCGCAACCCAATCTTCAACAGCTACACAGCATGGAGAATCCAGATGGAGTGTTCCTCTTCGACCATGCTGGCTCCTCTTGTTCTTCCCGCTCTCTCTTCCAGAACTGCGCATGCCTTTCCAGGCAAGAAGAAGAGTAGCCAAGAAGCAGCTTCTCGGCAACGAAGGCCAACACATAGAGTCCGATTTTCGTGGCAGTATCATAGGCAGCAACAGACTGAAGTATACTCATCCTCAGCTGCATGCTTGGGGCACGCACCATGCAAACGGAGTGACAACAACACAGTTGCGAATGACTTCGGGCTTCGAGCCTGTGCAAACACACCTCTTGTGTGTTTCCCACCACTCGGCCGTGAATGGTTCGGAGTTTGATGCTCCGGCTTTCCCGGCGACAGAGGAACTGCATCCGAGGCGCAGGGATGCACGATCAGGAACCTGAGTCTGAAAAACTGAGCACAAAGCCGAAGCCGCTAAATCCCATGGTGGAGCAGAACTAGATGCTAGCTGAGAGTCTCCCAGAGGCTGCACAGCCTGCTCGACTGGGAAGGCATCAAATCATTTCAGCTCGACTGCACTCCTGCTTCTAAGCATTAACTGCACTTATTTCATCCTTGAGCCTCGAAAAACTCGTCCAGGTTGTCGGCAGCCAACAAACGCGGTGCGACCACACGTACCTGACAGCAGCGGACTCTGGCAGGGTTGAAAACCATCCCCAGTAAATTTGCAAGCAGGGCACAAAAACTGCCAGCAGAGCCAGATTTGCATAAACCTCGGCGCGACTGACATGCTGGTGCCCGCTGTGGGGAACTAAATGCAAAGGATCGCCGCAAGCATCGAGTTCTCGTCCAAACGACCGCGGAAAACCATCATGTTCGGAAATCCGAGTGGCAGCGGTACTGGAGAGTCCGCGTTTCACTGGCGCCTTATCAAAGACGCTGGTGAAGCGCATCCTCGCTGCAGGAACTTTCCAAGTTAGCTGAGGCTTCAAGGCAGGCCAAAACCAGAGGCTCCGCAGTCCTATAGTATGCGATGGTGACGCCGGGCAGAAGCTCCAGCAGATCGGACAAGTCCTGTGAGATCCCGGCTTCGCCGACGCAACTGAAGATGTGACAATAGATGGCCCGCCTGGCGGGTGCGGGTCTTTGCCTCACCAGTCTCAGCATTCGCTTTGAGAGCTGTAGCGTTCCTGGACTGAGCTTCTGCATACCCTGCTCTCAGTCTTGCTAGACGGTCGCTCCTCCATCCCGCACTCCCTGAAACAGCGAGGCTCCTACTTGTAGCCTCAGCCTCCCCTGCTAGATAGGCCATGCGCGCTCGCTACAAACTCAGACTTGGCTGGGAAGCACTCGCTCCAGCAATTGCGAGAGCTCGAGGGCCTCCGTGCAGAAACTGGGAAAGCTGACAGCATTGACAGCATCTCTCAAAAATAACTTACCTGCCTACACCTTACATCTGCCCGCCTCAGGTCGCTTGTCCTCTCGTAAACTCGGAGCATTCCAGATCTCTAGCGCCTTAAATGCTGGCAGAGTCTAACGGGCTTCATCACGGCTGCGAAGAGCATGAGACAGTCAGGCAGCACCATTGACAGTGCGCCTAGATGGTTCAATCCTTGCTAAGCTCAATACTGAATTCAAGTTGCCTGCTCGATAACATGGCTTCAGTGCTTGCTATTTAGGCGTTTGTGTTTCGGGCCTACCCCAAGCACCCAAAAGCCACAGGCTTGGTGAACCATGAAATTCGCCAAGGGATTCTCACCTGCTGCGAAGATTTGACTTCATAGACATGATTGGGCAATGACATTGCAAGCAACCTTGGAATTCAATCCTTTCAAGCCGCCGTCTGTTCCTACTGCAGCCAACCGAAGGACGACAGTTGGACTCCAGCTGGACATTAAACTCCTTGCACTCCTTGTGCTGAATAGAACGTGGCAAGGCTTTTGACAGCACAGCAACGACAGACCATAAAAATCACTAACTTGACAACTGAGTGTCATCCCAGAACTCGTATGTCTCATTCCACCACTTTCCCACGGCCTGCAGCAAGATGGTATTTATGCGGATCGGACCAGAATACAATATCGTCTCGTCTGCCAAGCGGGTTTCTTCAAGGATATGCTTCGGGCGAGAAAGGCACCACACAGCATCGGAACCTTGACAAACGGTCGCACACTGGAAACTCAGATCGGCCTCTCCTGGGTTCGGGAGCGTCGTGTCAGCTGCAGCATGCCGCGCCACCCGCAACGCCCGCCGACTGAAAATAGACAGAGGAAAAGATGGGAGAAGCACTCAGGCATCTCTGGACAACAGAAGTGGAAGCGGTTGAGAGCCTGGGCCATGGCCCCAACCATGCCACCGGTGCCAATGCTGCGAACACCAGGGCTAGGGGGCAAAGGCGTCGGATGCGACGCGCCATGCAGCGCAGGTCACTTGGAGACTGAGGGGGTTGGAGAACTTCAGGAATGGCCTGGAGACGGTGGGGCTGAAAGGTTGCAGCTGAAGTGCATGTTACTGATGTCCTCTGCCAAAGGCAGGGATCTATGACAAGAAGTGACTTTGCCGGCATGTTGAGAGCTACGTCTATGTGCGTCGCAACGAACGTAGAAGCTGTATTTGGACTTGGGGGAAACTGCTATCGTGGGGTACCGTCTGATCGCATGTCGGACGTTGCAGTGACGCATGCGCTCCCTTGCCGAGCAAAGCTGAGGACGCGCAGTTCTGTCAAGCCACGTACTGTGGCCGAGCCATTGAAACTGCTTGCCAAAAACAATATAACAACACTCGGCAGTAGAACGGGATGGATTCCAAGTCCTTTTTGGCGTTGCTCACGTGTCAGGCTGTCTTTCGCCGCCTGGCTGGCACCGGCCAAGATCAGAACAGATTCACACCCATGTGCTGATCGTGCTAGTTGAGCGTGCCTGTCTAAGCTGAGTGGAGACGATCTTCGGGGTGCCACGAATTCAAAGTGGCCATGGAATGCCTGGCCAAGTCTATTGCACAACTGTGCAGCTGTAGGATATATGTGTGTGTGAGAGAGAGAGAGCTTCTGAATAGGAGGTGAAGTAGAGTAACCCGACAAAGTCCAGCTTTGACTGGTATGCAATAGCCTGAGTGTACTTGCCATGGCATCATGATGTATGGCATCGTCGCAGCGTAACACCTGCTACCCGGAATAGCAACAAACATAGAGGATCGAACATTGAAACAGTGCCATAGGATGGAAGACCTTCCAGATCTACTATGAATGAAGCACTCGGGCCTCACCGTGGCTCTCCTGATGAATCCACACATCCACACCTGAGTCATCCAAAAGCGACAATCTTTCTTCAGTCTCTCGCAGAACGCAGCAGATGCTGTACGCCATGGAGGTTCAAGCTTCCAAGCCCTCAGAGAAAAAAAACATGCCAACAGAAAGCCAAGAAAGGAGATTGTCTGCAAACCGCATCCACTCTAGCACGCCTTGTGATGGAGGCGCGAGTTCTTCAGCGTCCTGCATGGCGATGCTCAAATGGGCTCACACGGCAATCACGGAGCACGGACTTTTCGATCTCAGAGACCTCAAAGGGCTGGTCAGGAGAGGCAGCATCCTCCTTGCAGGGCGCAGCCCCTATGCACCGGAAGCAACTGCGAGCCGATACAAGCAGGATGTGTTCCACCGCATTCGGGCTTCAAACAATGAATGCTCCCACATCCGACCTGCCCGGAGAAATCGGAGCTCTCCGCCAGGCTCGGCTGCAAGGGCAAAGCAAGGATGTGACGACCGTAGCTACTTCACTGCTTCCCGGCTTCGTACTGAAATTCGCAGGACTGACAAACGCAATGTGAATCCAGACTTCTTCTGACCACCAAAGCTGCAACTGCTACCTCGCGAAGTGTGCTTAGCACTTCGACAACACGGGTTGCCTCCAAGTCATCGTAAATGTCCTCCGCGTTCTCGCAGCGTTCCTCGGCCCAAACCCCATGCTTGCCGGCACATTAAACCAAGACTAAGCTGCACCGATGGTGTCGACGCCTGACCTCTTAATCGTAGCCAAGGTTCGACGCGCTTGTGCTTGTGCACCTTGGCAGAGGCAGGCCTCCATGCACGGTGGTGCCGCTTTGCCTGCGACAGCGCGAGGTCTGCCATGCCACTGGTTCCGCTGCTCTCCTCCCGCCTGGGAGGCCACTGCCTCGTGGCTGGGGACGCTGACAGGGCGCTCCGTCTCCGGAGCCTGCAGAGGTGTCGTCTTCAGCGGCTTCAGTGGCTCTAGCGCGCTCGATGCGGAGGAGTCCACTTCGGTAATGATGGTAATGATGGATACTGGATCGGCCTGTGCGTCCCCAGAGCTGCAGGGAGCGCGCATCTCGCGATCCACGTGCGGCCCCTGGATCCAGGCTTAACAGATCTTAAGAATATTGCCGATCTCTCAACTCACCACCCTCCCAGCTATGCTTTACAGTTCTTACTGCAATGCCTCAACGTCCTCGTAAATGATGTCTTCTTCCGGCTCCTGAGCAGCTAAAACTCCAGCAAAAGCATTCTGGATGGGAGGCGCGATGAGCTTATTTGAGCTGCATGATTTGGACTCGAAGCAACCTTGTCCCTGGACCTCGTCTTGCCAAAACAATCGTTTCCCTGTACCAAAATCCGATTGCGATTCAACTATGATTACTTGGAAGGTAAGCTCCAACAGCTTCATCTGTCTGCATGCTTCCTGCAGCTATCTGCAGCTGCAGCTCCGTTCCTGAGTTCCTGCAGCCCCGGCGTATGGGCGAGGAAACTCTGGGAGAACACTGGCTCTGCGTCAAAAACAGCCCACCTATGCCCACCTCTACTCCCCAAACCCTAAACCTTAAAATCCCAAATGTAGAAACCTGCAAGCCAAAACATTTCCCCTGCGCAGCCAACAACTGCTAGGGAAGGAGACTTTTCGGCTTCCGACAAGTTATGGGAGCAGCAGCTGAGCGGAACGAAGGGATCTTGAAAGACCAAGCGCCTATGTCCTGCTTATCATGCTTCGCTTCGGAATCTCTGGTTCGATGACTTTTAGCCGAGCATCGGCCACCCGCTTGTGTTTGTGGATCTTTGCCGATGCCGGCCTTCCATCACTCCTACTCAGTCCACTGCCGAGAGCTGTCCGGCCGGGCCTGCGACGCTGATGGCTCGGATACGCTGCGTTGGAAGCAGCACGTGCTGCGACCGCTGCCGGCGCATGTGCTGCCGGCGTGTGCGATGCTGGCGCGTGCGCTGCATGCGGAACTGGCGCCTGTCAGAGTTGGCTGCTCGGCCCGTGTAGCCGTAGTGTAGCCAGTATTCTCCAGTCACAAATTACCAGGCTCGCCTTCGCTTTCCCTTTTGCCTCCTGCTCAGCGTTTTTCGCCGGCGGGGGGACCCGATAAGGAAGGTTGGCCTGGCAGACCGCGAAATCCACAAGCACTGCATAACACATTCTGCTTGTGCCTTTTCACGTTCTTGCAGAGGATGCCGAAGACGGAGGCCTGCATAGTGCACTGCACTGCATTGTACAGCTCGAACGGAGAGCTCTCCTCAAAGTCTCGCCTCCAGGCACTGGAGGCTGGCGAGAGCTGGGCCTTGCTCGTTGCTTGGACTGTCTGACCTTCTCCAATCCCGGGCGGCTCAGCGGACGACCGTTCGCTTGAGTCGTTAAAGAAGGAGCCCTGCACCAAGAGACACAGTTATGGCTTGAATCCCCATGTGCTCACCTTCGCAGCTCGCTGCGATGGCTGGACTTGAGTCCTGGTGCATGTAATTCCCTTGTTGCTCGACCAGAGTGTAACTTCTGGGTTTGGTCATCATGCTGCATTAGCACAGTGACCGACAACCGAACAGGACGCTGCAGATTTCTGCCTCTGCAGATGCGTCTGACATGCTCCATCCTTGGCCATATGAGCGGAAAACCTGACAAATGACCGAGACCTTGCAGATTAGTGCTTCGCTGGCTGGGGCAGCGGCTTGGAACAGGACCAGATGAGCTCGAGCGAGCTGCACCTCGCAAACTTGAGGCGCACATGTGAAAAAGTATTGCTTACGCGAAGCCCGGAAAGCAAAGAGCATCAAAGAGCAATTCTCAAAACGAGAATGTAGATTTTACATCCACCAAAAAAGCACTGCCGATGTTATCACCAAGTCGGACCCAGCTAGAGGCCCGGACTCCGCGTCGAGGAGGGCCTGGCTGAAGCCAAGGCTCGACTCAGAAATTTGGAGATGTGTGGGTGCGCGGTTCGATGCGGTTCGTGAGCATCCCACAACACAGTTCACAGCCGTTTTTCGCTAAACAGGGTCGAAGCAGCCAATGCTTCGTGTGTGTCTTGCACTGTCTTGCCTTGCGGAGGATGGCCGAGCCCGCGCCGAGCTTTGTGCACCTGCTCAATTAGCTCTCGACGCTCACGTTCTCATGAGCAGGGTTTTCACCAAGACTCCACTCTACTCGCATCAATGCTCAACTGAGTCCTCACCCCACAGCCCGCTTGCTCTCAGACTATGCTTGCATCACCCTTGCATCGCACACTATGCAGATTGGCTTCACCTCGAAGCCTTGCGCGTGAGGGGAGGATTGGATTCTCTCATCTCTTCTGTGGGTTAGCATGTGTGCTCACATATTCTGCTTTTCCATGATCCATATTTGTGAAGGAGTTGCCGGCTCGGCAACCTGGATCTGAACAGACTACAGCGATGCCAGGAGCCAGCAAGGTGACGTGCAAGCAATCCATGTCACTTGAATGCGTTGGCCTCGGGCGCTGCTGCTACGAGGCTTTGGCGCGTATGCCGCGCATCCCTCGGGCCAACTTGATCCACATTCCAAGGCACAGGTGGGCTCAAGAGGACGAACCTGTGAGCTTGCTGTTTGTTCCTGCAGCCTTGACACCATGACTTGGGGCACTGAAGCACTACAATGCTAGCTCCAAACCTGAAGCAGTTCTATGATTTCCGGTGCAACAGACAAGACCGTTTCTACGCTCGAATCACTGGGCCGCTCCCTGACTTTCAATAACCTGCTCTCGCCCGACATGCCATCTGGGCTTCCCTACACGGCTGCGCTGAGAAGACGAACTAGAAGAGACCTAGCAGCGAGCTGATGGCAAGAGCTAGGAACACCTTTGGTTTGTCCCGTGGTGGCCCCACCCAAGAATGGGCGACCCATTCCTTGCAGTTGAGACGCAACCGATCTGGGTACCAAGAGCTTGTCACGGATCCAGTCCTTCACAACACATCTCTAGGCAAAGTCAAAGAGGCAGGACTGGCTGGGACATTCACGGACATCCAGCCATGATCTTGATTCTCCTGTCTACTCATGAATGCACGGCTCCGCTCTGCTGAAGTCTCCTTCGTCAGCGGTTCGGCGCTCGAATGTGAGCTCGCCTGGATCACGGCATTTATGCTGTGGTCTGACAGAGCTTCCAGAGCTCTGGCGAGCCTTGTAAGACAGGATTTCAATCAGCTCCTTGGCATCAACAAGGGGCATAACTGACGTATTACAGTCTCCTGTCGGGCCTTGTCCGGCACCGGTGGAAGTGGCGGGACCGCGGCCGGGACCTGTGGCGACAGAGCAGACTGCGTATGGGGAAGTAACAGCACGAGGCCCGGCAGCCGAAGACTGAGCTCGCCACGCGCAGCTGGAGTTGCCCAATGCCGTCCAGTTCGAAGTAGGAAGCATCCAACAGGCAAAGGAGGAACCTTAGTGTGTGCCAGCTTAGTATGTGCCAGGGGCTGCTCAAAGCAAAAATTCGCGCATGCACCGGAACAAGTATGAAGCAATCTAGACATACACAAATCCACAAGAAGAGTCTGCAGGGATGGTTGCTAAGCTGTCGCATGAGCTACAGAGAAGCCATGTGTCTCAATCCATGTGTTTCATTTGTCCCTGGATCTTCGCCGTAGCTCTAAAGATGCTCCATCCGTGCCCGTCGGGGGTGCGGCTGCCGATGGCAACGTTTGCCATGCGAGGCACATTGACACATTGACATGCCGAAGGCATCTTGCAGTCAGCCAGTCTCTGACTATAACGGCCAGTTCTAGAACCTCGTGGAGCATGACGTTTCATGCTGGGCTGTGCTGCGAGTCCATTGTTCGGACCTTTTCGGCGATGCATTGTTCCTGTGATGTGAGTTAAGCACTACATTCAGAAAAGACCTTAACCCTGGGTCCCGCACTCCCTCAGAGGGTCCCCGTCGGCGAGCGCGGCCTGACGACTCCTTATACGGGCGAACTCCATGTAAGGAGCCGAAGCAGCCGCCACACCGCCGCATCGAACTGACTTGAGGACTCGGCCGAGCCAAGCGCTGCCACCAGCTGTCGAACATGACCTGGCATTCTCTAAAGCGCTTGAAATGCCTGGCAAAAGAAGATCGGATTCGAAATGCCGTCAGCCCAAAGGCAAGAGAATGAACATCAGTTTGCAAGATCCGAAATGCAGAATCCTCTTTGCACGCTCTTCTTTTTCACGAGGGGCAGATGTGTTTCGGAGCCAAGTGCTCGGGTCTGGTGGCTTCGTCGCGCGTTTTACAGCACGCGGTCGACCTGTCACAGGTAACGTCACCTATTTGTCAGAAGTCGTGCCGATCCTTCGGGGAGATGTCTCGCAGTTGCGAGTACGTAAATACACTGTAAAATCAATTGGCTCCACTGGTGAGGACAGGCACAACTCGGACGGACTGATGCTCAGTCAGGTGTCATACATGCGTACTCTATACGGCATGTATTGGCGGGCGCAAACACCTTGTCAGGAGAAGAGGTCGTTTTCAGCCTTGTTCTTGTGTCCAATCTGCCCGAAGAGCGTTGTCGTGGCGGTCGTCCTAGACCTGGGTCAGGATTCCTTCCTTTCGTCCTCCACCCTGGCCCAGTGTCCGTTTTTGGGCTCTGGGCGCGCGCTTGCATCCGCGGGATGCAATCCTACTTGTGGGCCAAAAAAAGAACCTTTGTTGGCATATACGAACAAAGACTTTTCGAGAAAAGAATCATACAGAGGGCAGGGCTGCAAAGTCATCACGACATTCAAGTTTCGCAGATCCACCGTCACCGCATGGTCGATGCCGAAACCTTCCCCAATAGTTTGTGGCCATTTAAAAGCATGTGAGCCTGCAGCTCGTTGGCAATGGCTGGGCTTGCTCTTCTCTCTTACCGTTGCCGCTCTTGGAATCATGGGGGGGTGCCCTCCTGTGAAGGATCTTCACTTGTCCTTGCGACTGTGTTTGCTGTGTCGCCTTGTGTTCTTTGTTTTTAAACTTGTTTGCCTTAATTGTATCAGCGGAAGATCAAACAATGAAATACCTGCATGTGGAAGGGGGGTTGACTGGGAAAGCCTCATCAAGAATGAAAGTCACCTGAGTGGAAGCTTCGTGTATAGATTTGGCAAGAGCATTGTGAAGCATCAAAGCCCTGTGTGGACACAATCTAAGGTGCCGGCTACGGCAATTCTCCCTGAGTCTGACCGAAGCGCCTGAGAAAGACTCTCTGAACCTTTGAACTTTCCTCTCCTGCTCTCTATTCTGAGTTCTCATTCTCCTTCCGTGACCTCTCTCCTCGAGCAACCTGCCGGGCTGAAAACAGCTTTGTCAGCAGGTGGCTTCACAAGAGCCTGCAACCCAAATGCAGCCGGAGTCAATTCAGATCAATCTTAAACGAAACACACTAATCTATTATATGTCGGTGAAGAAATCTGCAAAAGGCTTCAAGCTTTCCCGCAACCGACTCCAGCAGAACTAGCTAATTATGCCAACAGCTGGCGAAAAGAAAAATAATGAAAGCTTGGGCGACATCGCTTCACCAGCTCTTCACGTCGTATCAACAGGTTCTTCAAAAACCTGGATAGGCACAAGCAGGAGCCAGCCGAAATCAACCGTTGCACAGTCCGAGTGCGAGCGACCGGCCTGAACTACTCACCGGCCAAGCATCGGGACATGGTGCGATTGGTACGGATTCAAGTTCGCTTTCCACACATCATCTTGACCGTTAACCAAGTACTATCTTCCCAGTGCGCACCAACTCTGCGCTTTCGGAGACGCTCATAAATAATCGGCAACGCTCTGCATTGCTTGTCATCAATAAAAATGGCCGGCAGGTGTGCACGGATTGTCGAAAAAGGCGCTGAACTGTGCTGCAGTCGATTTAACATAGCAAACATTTCAGGCATCCTCCGATCACACCGTCCAGCATGGCAAATTAATTCAAACTTAGACTTAAAGTCTGCGTTAACACCAAAGAGCCGGACAAAATCCTATGACATGTCGAGCGAGTCAGCCGGGTTTTCATCCCTGGCCGGCAGCGTGGCAACGGGCATCATCGGCCGGCGTAC